CATAACAGTTGATAAGAGAGTGACAAACATACAAAAGAAGAAAAGGTTTTGTTTGTTTGTTTGAGTAAAGACAAGCACATCGACACAAAAATAGTCATTTAGTGCTGGGAAAAAGTATGACAGACAGACAGAAACAACAGAGGGAAAGTAAAGAAATAGGTCCCTACCAGTAGAGCCCTCCAACCACCTGCAAAACAAAAACAAAACAAAAAACAAAACACAAAGACAGCAAAGTGACTCTCACCCTAGGTAGCGGACTTGGTGTCTCACAATCTCCATGTCTATATCACGCGCCTTCTTGAAGTCGTTGGGCTGGAAATGACATAAGTTTAGTTTTAGTAAGGTTTTACGGCGCACGCAACTGCATAAGGTCATATGAGCGCTTTAGTTTTATTTTAGTTTTAGAAGAGGTTTTACTGCGCTCGCAACTGCATAAGGTCATATGAGTGCCAAGGGGTGGATGTCAATAGAGAAGTCCTAACGGGGAATCAGGCTTACTCTGTTCACCTCTCTAGCCTCAACAGCACAAAGCTTGCTTCGACTATCAAGGCGCCCCGGAAAAAGCAGTTCACAAGAGAGTAACAAACATATTTAATATCCCCCCTGTTAGGAATGGTCTAAAGACAACTTCAGTCAGTAGCACTGCCCTGGTGGGGGGGAAAAATGACATAAAATGTATACAAAATGATTATATAATATTATAATTGGTCGCTTTCAAGGACAAGAGGGTTGACCCAGATTTCGGGGGTTTCCAGAAATCTTGACCTACACCAAAAGTGGGCATTACCCTACCTATAGGAGAAGTTTGCTATCATTGGTGGGTATATTTGTTTGGTTATAAAGAAAACTCTCCAGATATTTTAAAGAAACTGAACAAGGCGCAAAAATGTAACCTTCGATTTTCTCAAAACAGCAAGTTTTAACTGGCCACAAAAAGTAACCTTTTCAAATGATGAAAGGAAAGAAATATTCACCCAACCCTATGCAGGGAGACCCAAAATCTACGTGAGCCTGGAGGAACTGTGGCGAACAGCAGCAGCCTTCACAACAGAAACTTTGATGTCCATTCAAAGATGAGCGACAAAGAAAATGAAGAAACGATGAACAAAAACAAGAAAGCTAGCCCTCAAGAACTTTTATACTATTTCTAGACCATGGTGACTCCTGATTTTTATTGAGGATACAAAGATCGACCTCGGCGACCAAGAAAAATTAAGCAACCCCTCCCACTCACCTTGATGCATCTGATGTAGTTGGGGTTCTTAGAGCTGAGATTTTTCATAAGTTCTGTCACAGAGATCTGCCAAAAACAAGACCATTCTCTGAGTAATAGTCCATAGTAAAGATACTACTAATAATAATAAAAATAATAATGATAATAATAATAATAAGCACTCAACCCGATTAAAAAAAACACATGCTCTGAGTGCTTTAACATAAACAGTAGTGTTCTGATTAAAAATCTCTATATATATACTCTGTATATCTCTCATTTTTATATATATTAACGATTTTTGTTAGCATTTGAATGAATTTTAAAGAATTGCACATAACAAAACACGCCCATAACGAACAGATTTTCAGGTCTCCAATTTTCTTAAAGCATGTATTTCCTTTGTATTTAAAACACATACATATAAAAAGACACACATAATGAAAAGATATTTGCGTCCTATCGATTTTGTCATGTACCTGCTAGACTGTATAAAGAAGTTACTGAGGCACAAACTCGTATCATCATAATAATTAACAATCATAATGACAAACAAGACTGACCTTAAACTGTGAGCCTGCAGTGGCCGGCCTCTTCAGAGACTTTTCCGTTGGTCTCCCTGAAAAAGCGCAAAGACTTTCCTAAAACTAAGCTTAGTAATAATAATAAGAAGAACAATAATAATGATAACAATAATAATAACAACAATAACAACAATAATAATAATAATAGTAGTAATAATAATAATAATAATAATAATCACAGCAGCAGCAGTAGTTGCAGTAATAATAATCATAATCATAATAACCATAAAGATAACTTTATAATAATAAAAATTGAATTAATATAGCGCATATCCACACCCTACAGCATGTTCCATGCGTTTTACAAGTATCATTTTAGTCTTGACTTCCCAGGAAGTGTACAGAGCAGGCAGCCGATTGAGCATTCAAGCACTAATAAACTAACAAGATCTTTTCCTGCATATAGTTAGGTATCACTTCCCACCTGGGTAAAGTGAGGAAAATTTATGTAAAAAGAAAAAAGAACATTGGGCCCTTCAAGGGATTTTAACCCAATACCTTTTGGTTACATGGCGGACAACCTACCCATAAGACCACTGAAGCTATTACTGGTACACATGGTACAAACTGACCATAATAAATTACTGATCTGCACAAACAGATTGTGAAAGGTTTGGTCAGTTGCAAGTGTTTTAGCATGTGTAATCCGTAATCTGCTTCTTGCACTGTAGGTTTCCGGACAAGACGAGAATGTCTCTGAATGTTCTTGGGTCTGCTGCGGTAATAATAGTTAGAGGTGGAACATACAAAAATACCTTATTCTGTATTCTATTTAAGTGAAGGAATATGTAAATAAAAAGGAGAGATGGAGATATCTAGGACATGTTGTAAGAATGCCAAAGACAAGATTGCCCTATCAGACATGGTATTGGAGACCAACTGGAAAAAGAAAACGAGGAAGACCAACAGGAAGCTATAGAGGCACAATAAGGGATGGGGCAGTCACCCAGTCCCTGGATGTGCCGAAATTGGAGGACATGGCCAGGGACAGGCAAGCATGGTGTGAACTGCTCTCCGCCTTAAGTGCCTGAGGGTATAGGGAGAGAGTAAGTAGGTTAGTGTTTTAGTGCCTATAAATGGCTGCTTGCACTGTATGCTTCCCAGGGAGTTGAGGTTGTTTCAGAATGCTCTCAGGTCTGCTGGGGTAATAGTAATAGTATAGATTGCGAAGCGCATAGAGCTTTCTGTTGAGCGGGGATTTGCGCTATACAAATGCTATCTATCTATTATCTATTATTATTAAGTAATATGTAGATCTGAACTAACCCTCTGGGAAGAGCTCCATGAGCATGGGGTGTGAGCACTGGTGCATGGCCTGGGAGAGGTCACGGAACAAAAGGTCGTTGTTCTTGTCCAGGAAACCAGACACTTTGTACAGGACCTGTGGAGGGGAAA